CATGGCGAAAGGTTTCAGGAAAACTCATGGTATTGACTATGAGGAAACCCAACGTTAAAGATACTAGGATACTTATTTCCATAGTTGTATACTATGATTATGAGATATGAAAAATGGATGTCAAGATCTCTTTCCTAAATCGTCACCTAAGCGAGGACGTATATATGGTGCAACCGGAAGGGTTTGTGAATCCAAAGTACCCTAAAAAGGTGTGTAAGCTTCAAAGATCCATTTATGGATTGAAACAAGCATCTAGGAGCTGGAATCTTAGGTTTGATGAGAAAATTAAATATCATGGTTTTGCTCAAAATCAAGATGAGCACTATGTTTACATTAGAGCTAGTGGGAGCACTTTAGTCTTTATAATCTTGTATGGTGATGACATACTACTCATTGGAAATGATATTCCAACCTTGCAAGACATTAAAACTAGTCTTGGAGAATGTTTTGCCATGAAAGATCTAGGAGAAGCAACATATATCCTTGGAATCAAGATCTATAGGGATAGATCAAAGCGGCTAATAGGTCTTAGTCGAAGTACATACATGATAAAATCTTGAAACGGTTCAGGATGCAAGACTCCAAACGTGGAGCCCTACCAATGCAACATCGTATTAGCTTGAGCGAGTCTCAATGCGCTACTACACTTGATGAGGTGAAATGTATGAATGGAATTCCTTATGCTTTTGCTATTGGGTCCATCATGTATGCCATGTTATGTACTAGACCTGATGTGTCATATGCTTTGAGTTTGACTAGTAGATATCAAAAGAATCCAGGTGAATGTCATTGGACTATTGTAAAGAATATTCTTAAGTACATGCGAAGGACTAAAGATATGTTCTTGGTTTACGGGGGTTTAGATGAGGAGCTCAGCTTAGGAAGTTGTCTGGATAAGGAAGTTCATGGTTGAACTCGACATAGTACCCAACATTGAAAAACCTATAGAGATGTACGGTGACAATCTTGGTGCTTTGGTGCTTGCAAAAGAACCAAGAGTACATAAAGGCAGTCGACATATTCTATGAAAATTTTATTATATTCGAGAAGTTTTCTATACAAATGAGATTAGTGTTCTTAAGGTTCATATATATCATAATCTAGCAGATCCGTTTACAAAGTCTATGCCTCTTGCTAAGCATGAAGAACACACTAGAGGTATAAGACTTCTTTTCTCTAGTAGTGTGTTTGATTTGTAAATTATAGTATTTGGATATTTGGAACATAAACAATATTATTTACGGTTATTGATATATTTGGTATGATCATCTTCATCAAATATTATTGTGTTTTGTATTGGCATGTTTAATCCATGATTAACTGTTGGTTATTCTAAACTTCCATAGCCAGTCATGTTATGCGAATAACTATCAATTAAGACTAATGTAAATGTTGGTAGATATTCATTGTTGGTGAATATGTCTTGTTGAGAACCAAATTCACGTGTATTCACTGTTGGTGAATATTGGTTTGACCCAACCTCAAGATGTTACTTCATGGATCTTCGTTATCGGTGAATCTTGAAAATGATTGTGTTTGTATATCCTTAGACCTAAGATATATGTTGGTATTAGAATGAGTGGATTATTATGTTTTGAGGTATTCATACGTTGTTCTGAATAAGACAGTTAAAAAGGCTATTATTGGATATAGTGTGAATCTCACAATAATCGCATATAGTCAAGATGGAATTTGTTTCTCTACTAGCTGAGAGTATGATATCACTAGGCCCCTTGAAGAATCGAATAGATATAAGTGTATGGCCATACCCAAACGACATTGACAGTTGCTCAATCTAGTTTGATGATCATATTCGAGTTCTAGATCAAGAAACCTATCATTGAACTAATATGAGGATGATTAGATCCATGCCTCAAGTTCAAATTGATATCAGTAACAAAGGGACATAATAGAAAATATCATTGTACAAATGAATGTATGTTTTATAGAAACTAACATCCGTATGTAGTTAGGGGCTGTGGTGTGTTGCTAGACGCTTACCGCAGTCTATATAGTTAAGAAGCCTTGAACCATGCACAAGTGAGAGTTTGTTGGATTTATATGCAAGGAACAAGACTGTTCGGTATTAACTATATTACTGATTGGATATAAACCTATGGGCTCACACACAAAGAGCAATAATGATACCAATTAATATATATATATATATATATATGATATATTATGATTCAATCAAAAAGAGTAAAAGTTTATTTCAGAATTATTTGGCTAAAATGAGTCAAAATAATGTCTAAGAAATAAAATGGGGAAATTTACTATATCCATGTGTGTTGGTCCCAGCTGGATCTACAAGAGTTTGTAGGTAGCAATTTGTAAAAGGGGGGGTGAATATAAATGCAACACTTTCGTTTAAAAAAAATTATATATTGATAAAGAAGATCAATACAAATTTTTCAGATTATTTGCGGAAGAGATAGGATACATAACCTATCTAAACAATCTAAGATACACACAAAATTATAGATAACAATAAGAAAAGACTTGCTACAAGAAATAAGATAAGAAGTAATGTGTTCTTCACTTGTTAAAGTGGGTCTTTCTCTTAGACAAAGAGTAAAGAGAGAAGTATCTTCTTGGGTAAGTTTAGAGGATGAAGAAGTGTAACTGAGAAGAGAACTACTTAGCTATTTATACCCATTACATTAAATACATTCTAGAAGGTACAAAGCACGTGGCAAGCTCTTAGAAAAGAGCTTGTCCTTTATTGTAGATATACAATATTTTGTCCATATATGAATAGTCTTCTTTTATAAAGTAGGTAAGCACGTTTGGAGACAGAAGAGTGACTCTGTACTGTATTATACTTAGGAAGGTATGGGGTTTGTCCTTTGTGTACAAAATGACAAGACAAACTAATCTTTCTCGACAAGATTTATTTGATCCCTGAACACTGGAATGACGCTGAAAGTCTCATCAGTGTTCATTGAATCTTGTGCAGATTTCACATTTGTGTACACGAGCTTGTTATCACTGAAAACTGCTTCAGATCACGAACTTGCTAATCTCTAAATCTTCAATTTCTGTCTTCGACATCACTGAAGGATCTGTGGTGTGAGTTTTGTCTTCTTGAAGGATACTGGTCTTTGAACAAATTACAATATATGTTTAGCGATCACTGAACAGACTCAGTGATAATCGCTGAAACTGAATACAGAGATAATACACTTCGATAGATAAAAGGGATAATCATCAAATCACTAAGAGAGAGGATCAATAATCTCCCCTTATTTGATGATGACAAAGCAACATAAAGAAAATTACTTAAGTTACATCAGTAAGGAAAAGGTACTAGTAAAATATTTATCTCTTTTAATTGTTTTGGGATCTTTTTTAGTGATACAGTTTACTATATAAATTTATTTAAGTGGTAAAGGATTATAAGGAGAGAATAAACTTGCACAATATTAATAACTGAAACTGAAAGCATATTCATTGACTTGAAAGGTGTCAGTGAATGTAAGACATAGACAGATTTCATAAATACTTGTCTCATTTATTCTTTTCAGGGATCTTTTTTAGTGAACTTATAGTTTTATTGAATATTTTTCAAGGGAAAAATATTACAAGTCATTACAATCAGCATTGGTAGACCTAATATACATAAAGGTTATACAGTGAAAGTAAAGAAAAGAAAATAAGTTATTACAAGATAGAAATAACGTCTAATCTAAGTTGCTGAAGTTGACGTATTCAAGGACATCTTTCCAAGCTTCTTGTGTCTCAGCATTTCCTTTATGATCATGCATTCCATCATCTCTCCAAACAGATCATCATTTAGCCAAGTCCTTAGATACTCTAAGTGATCTATTGGGCAGAGATGGAACTAGGATACTCACTGAAACCTGTATTCACCATCATGGTCTATGAACATAAGTCTATACTCAGGTTTCACGTGCATTGTGTTGGGTATATAAGGACCTTCGCAGGAAGTATCAAGTTCAGCATTGAGATATCCGACTTCTTTCGGTCCTTGAGAAGTTCATCCACTTAGAATTTTGTCTCGTACTAGTTTTGTGGGATGGATAATCTTCAGATTCTGAAAGAGATTTTCTTTGAGAGGAGGGCAACTTCTTTGGCAAAGGAGGGACGTCGATGATCTTGGACACCTTCTTAAATAGTTCATTTAGAATGTCTTCAAACAGTGGCTTCTGCTTGGATTTGGATCTCTGAATAGCCTGTCGAATCTCCAGCCACTCGTAGAAGCCATACTGGCCGGGGTATGAAGGATATTCGATGACAACATCTTGATTCTCTCGGAAAATGACCATTGATACTAGGATCCCACCATCCTTTATTCGTCTGTTGATGGTGACGTTTGAGATCTTGTGGGGATTTCTCCTTTTCTTGAGCCTTTCTTTGCACCACTTCAAATCTCGATCTTTTAACTTCAACGCCTGTTGATGTTCAGCTTGTGATAATAGTTGGGCCTGAGCTTTGAGATGATCTTTCTTCTTGAGCTTCCCTTTACCTAAAGCTTAGGCAGCTAGAGTCTTGGCTAACTCTAGACTGTCCTTCAGTTGTTGTAGATGTTCGCTCAGCTCTTCTTCAGCTTTCAGGGACTCTTCTCGTTCAACATCAGTGAGGAAATCAAACTCACCACAACCAGAGGTACGAAGAGGGAATTTTACTCTGGTTTGGTCGAGGTGATTTATTAGTTGAATCCTCTTGTGGTCTTCATCAGCTTTTGAACACTCCTGTCGTCTAGGCGACTTCCTAAGTGTTGAAATTTCTGCTTCACCTTCATCTGTGCTTTCGCAAGATGTGAGATGTGTTGATGGACTAGAAGGGTTTGTTGGTGTAGAGAGAAGAAGAGGGATATGGTATGAGATTTCAGTATCTATGGTGATAGGTACAAATCTGGAGGATTCAGCGACCTCTGGTGGACTGATTTCCCTGAGAACGATGGAAAGATTTTCTTCTGCCACTCTTTTGCCTTTATCCTTGGAGTGATGGTTCCTTGAAGCTGAAGGTCTCTCCCCCTAGGAAGCTAGTTCCCATATGGAGATTCTCTTCAGTACTGGTTGTCTTGGGATGACTTGGATGCATAATTCTTCATCATCGTCTTCATCTTCATCATCATCTCCACGATCATTCTCGACATCAGAGAGATGAGGTTCAACCTTTTCATCTTCATCATCATCCTCATAACCAGCATTTGACAATACAGAGGTGGAGGGATGGTCTTCATGATCAGCATGAGTGATCACATCATCATCTTTATCGATGGCATCCTCAGCGGCAGGGATTAGAGCATTTGCATAAGGGATCGAAGCAGCATCATCATCAGCAATAAGTTTCTCTTCCTCTTTATCTTTCTCCCCCTCTTTGTCATTATCAATACGAGAAGAAAAGATCATTAAGATGAGAGGAGAGGTCTTCTAGCTTATGTTCTAGGGGGAAAAGAGCTTTAGCCTGGAGAATGTTAAACGCAGCGACTCTTTGTAGTTTTTGACGGTCCGCTTCTTTGAATGATGGTTCAGGGACTGGCGCTAGTAGCTGGAGGAGTTGGAAGATTTGTTGAAGTATGGTGAGCTGAGCCTGGACTTCATCAGCTTTGCTGGATAGAACAACTACAACTTTAGTGTTGGCTTGGACTTCAGTCTTTACTGCCATCATCGACTCCTTTACGTCATTGACCTCGACTTTGACAGCAGAGAGGTTGTTTGTATGCTCTTCTTTTGAAAGCATTGCCTTGTGTACCTCGTCCATTTTATCTAGGACTGTGTCAACAACGGGCAACAATAACTTTACATCCTTAACCATGTCATGGACTTCAGCTTTAGTCTATATGGTAGTGGATTCATTCCTTGAAGGACCTGTAGAGTCAATAGAGAGTTGAGCATAAGAAGGCTCATAGTTAGTAAGAAAGAATGAAGGGAGACTAAGTGTTTACCTGAGGGGTCCTCAGCGTCATCTGAAGGATTGACACTGGGCATTATACATGCGCCATCATAAGGATCAGCTGCAAGTGTCTGAGGAGCCTCGAGAGGAGCAACCTCAGGTCCTATGGTGATGGCTTCACCAGTGGTGGGGACAACCACCATGGGATCATCAACGCATGTGATGGAGATCAAGGAGGGAGGATAGGAGATGATGGCTGAGAAAGTATGTGAGTGATCAGCAGTGGAAATGCTGATATTCACACTTTCAGTGATTTTGGTCACTGAAGCGGTTGCGAGAGTATCCACGTGTGGGGAGGGTTAAAGCGAGTGCCTCGGGGGTAAGGCTCTTTTTAATAGCTTAGACCTATTGGGAGGTCACAGCTAGTAGTGTTGGTTTCCTCTTTTTGGCTTTCTTAGCCTTCTTTGAAGGACTAATATGGGCTTCAAATTGTGTTCTCTTTTTGAAGGATAAGGTGGTGGTGGTCGGGATAGACTGAGGGGGGTTTACCTCAGTCTTAACCACCTGAGAAAGAGAAGAAGAAGAAGAAGAAGAAGAAGAAGAAGAAGAAGAAGAAGAAGAAGAAGAAGAAGAAGAAGAAGAAGAAATGGGTAGGTTATCTTTAGTGGAAGAAGAAGAAGGTTCATTCAGGTAACATACATGAGCAAAGGTTGATGACGAGGGATCATTGGAGGATGATGTCTTAGATACCTTTGACATCCTAAGCCATGAGACAGAAGTAAGACGTGTCTTCCTCACCAGAAGATGATTCTTCAGAAGAATCAGCCAGTCATGCTCTTCAGCGACGAACCCTTTGCCTTTACGCTGAAGATTTTTCACCTTCTTGTACTTCTCCTTCAGTTTTAGGTACTTTTCCTTTTGAGGCCTGAATGAGGATGAGAGGTTGGAAGATGGCGTCGCAGCTTTCTTCAACCTGCATTCACTAGAAAAGTGACCTTTGCGTTGACAATCACAGGAGCTAGCTGAAGCCTTGTCAATGGATTTTGACATTGGCTTTTTAGCTATGATCAGCGAAGGAGATCTGGGATAGTTGATTTTTCTGGTGAACCTCCTAAAAGAGTTAGTTAAAAGAGCCAACGACTCGTCAAATTCTGAAAAATTAACGTATGTCAAGTTCTCAGAGTTAGAAGGATCTAACTCAATGATAGAAATAGAAGAGATAGAAGGAGTAGACCAAATAGAAGGGTCAGCTAAAGGGCTATCAGAGATCAAGCTAAAGAAGATATTTTCATTTCCTTGGAGTCTTTGAGAATATTCTTCTTCAGCTGACGGGATTGCTCATGATTAAGAAATATCCCATAAAGAGAACTGAGAGAAAGGGAGAACTTATCCTTGGACATCTTGAGACACATGGTATAATTATCCCATGATTCTGGCAAACATTCAAGGAATTTTTTCAGTGTCTCTGAGTTGAAATATTCTTTTCGAACTACCCTCAAATCAATAAGAAGACAATTAAATCGTTGATGTACTTCAGACAAAATTCAGATTTTCCACAAAGAAAACTTTCATATTATCTTACTAGATTAATCTTCCTCTATTCTTGTACTTCAGAATTACCTTCATATTGAAGACAAAGAGTGTCCCACATGGTTTTTGAGGTTTTAAGCTTCATCACAAAGTGATAGACCTCGTCAGGAAGAGCCATGGCTATTATAGATCTCGCACGAGTATCTAAAGCAATCTACTTCTTGTCTTCATCACTCCATTGATAAGGGAGCTTTATAATCTGCCGTTTAGGAATCACGATAGCCGTAGCAGTTACAGGAACTGCTAGAGAGATTGCGAAAGGATATAAGGTTCATTCTCAATGTAGTATGGAATCTCAGGATCCACACCTTCCAAGAAGAGAGACATCCGGTTCTTTCATATATTTAAGTTCTCTCTGATAAACCGAGGAGGTTTGGCAAGAGAGTCGTTGTCGTAAAAGTTTGTGCTAATGTTTTGCAAAGCCATTTTGAAATGAATAAATTATCTAGAAAAGAAGAGATAATAAACTACCAATAAAACAACAATACAACACAAAAACAAAAGCTCTGATACCAATTGTTGGTCCTAGCCGGATCTACAGGAGTTTATAGGTAACAGTTTGTAGAAGGGGGGGATGAATACAAACACATCAACTTTCACTTTTAAAAATTATATATTGATAAAGAAGATCAATACAAATTTTACTGATTGTTTGTGGTAGAGATAAGATACATAACCTATCTAAACAATCTAAGATACACACAAAATTACAGATAACAATAAGAAAAAACTTACTACACGAAATAAGATAAGAAGTAATGTTCTCTTCACTTGATAAAGTGGTATTTCTCTTAGACAGAGAGTAGATAGAGAAGTATCTTCTTGGATAAGTTTAAAGGATGAAGAAGTGTAACTGAGAAAAGAACTACTCAACTATTTATACCCATTCCATTAAATGCATTTTAGAAGGTACAAAGAAAGTGGCAAGCTCTTAGAGGAGAGTTTGTTCTTTGTTGCAGGTATACAGTCTTTTGGCCGTATATAAACAGTCTTCTTTCATAAAGTTGGTAAGCACGTTTGGAGACAGAGAAAGGACTCAGTACTGTACTATACTTAGAAAGGTATGGGTTTGTCCTTTGTGTGTAGAAGGACAAGACAAAAACTAATCTTGCTCAACAATATTCATTTGATTGCTGAACACTGGAATGACGCTGAAAGTCTTATCAGGGTTCGTTGAATCTTGTGCAGAATTCACATTTGTGTAGACGAGCTTGTTATCACTAAAAATTGATTCAAATCACGATCTTGCTAGTCTCTAATCTTCAGCTTCTGTCTTCGACATCGCTGAAAGATTTGTGGTGTGAGTTTTATCTTCTTGAAGGATACTAGTCTCTGAACGAATTACAATACATGTTCAGCGATCACTGAATAGACTCAATGATGATCGTTGAAACTGAACACAAAGATAATACACTTCAATAGAAAAAGAGATCATCATCAAATCACTAAGAGAGAGGATAAACAATGTGATTAACTAATTAAAGGTTTTATTATTTAAGAGAGTTTAAATAATTTTAAATGGGCCAAGGTAGTTTTATTAGATTAAACTTAAAAGAAAGGGTTTCATATGATAAAAAAAAACCCCACAAAAGTGGTTATAAAAGGAATAGGGTTTAGGACATTAGGGTTTAACCTAATCTCTTCCTCCCTTCTCTAAAAAACGATGCCTCCTATGCTTGCTAGGATCGATTTTCAGTCAAGAAGAGGAAGAAAAAATATGTTTTGATTGAAGTACGGACTAACATCCGATTGGTGTCACTCGTGTGGATACTGATAGAGACGTTTTTCCTTGGACTCTTGTTTCTACATTAGTTTGTTCCAGTTCTAAAAGGTAAGATTCAGATCTTGTCGTTCTTAGTTTTTTTTTTTGTGATAGCCGGGTTTTTTGGTTACAAAGTTGAGGGTTGATTTTAAATAATGATGGTAAGTTGAGGGGTTTAATTTGTTCATGTGCTTAAATGATATTAAATTCCCTCATCGCCTCTTATGGTTTATATTTGTTTTATATGAGATATTTGTGTTATATAATGGGAGAGTGTGCTTAAATGTTTTAAAAACCTCCACCGCCTTATGCTTTGTTTAAAAGAGTGATAAAATATTTTATCTTATATCATTGATTTTGGTGGAGAAAAAGAAAGTAAAGCTTCTGTATGTTCTTGAATTCGAGAGAAAACAGAACCAAAAGGGAAGAGAAGTAGAAGTTGATTTCCATGATTTCTTTTTGAATCTTTGTTGCTGTTATCAACTTCTTTGTGAATCAAGATGAGTTTTTAATTGTAAGATTTACTTTAAAAGCTTCATTAGATATGGTTTCGTACCTGAGTGTTTCCGAACGATTATGTACTATTTTTAGTATGATGGTGAGTTTTCGTTTAAAGTTTTCCTTATTTGGAAATTGGATATAAGAACTATATGGTTCTTTATATGAGATTTCAAAATAAAATAGTTTGATGCCATTATTGGCAAATCGGTGGTTTTTTATCATGATTATATCAAGTGTGGAAATAAGAGTGACATATCAAGCAGGGATGTAAACTGGGATAAGGGTGGCATATCAAGGAGGGCGTATACTAGGATAAGGGTGACATATCAAGGAGAGGTGTATACTGAGATAAAGGTGACATATTAAGGAGAGGTGTATACCAGGATAAGGGTGGCATAATCATGAGTTATGAAATCTACGTGTTGTGATGAGAAGTTGTTATCGCATCCTTGTGATGTGATGACCTTGAGTTATCGGTTCTGTATGATGCGGGGACTTAGGATTGTTGCATTCTATTGATGTGATATGTTGTGGTTTTGATAAAAGGCACAGTTGTTAAGAACTATAGAGGCTCAGGTTAGTCTTCATGTTTAACCAGAGGGCCTCTGGTTGTATTTGAAATCCAAATTCTTTTCAAGTGTTTTAAACATAATTCTTGACCTA